TGTATTCTCAGTCTTCTATTACACTGAATATATCCAACTACCTCTTATTGTTAATGGATATCTCAGACCTCTGCTAGTGTTTACAGAAACCTCCTAACATTTTGTCTTTACATTACATACTACTTTTCCATTAGGGCTCTAAACCATCTGACAGTGAAGGATTTCATTGTTTTGGTTTGCTTTTTTTGAGGATCTTTTATGTCATTCAACAGGGATGTTACGTGTTTAAATATTACATCAAGAATACATGGTCAATTTTAGAGAATCATTCAGTAGACTTTGACCGCTATCCAGTATTCATGAAGATCAAACAGAAAAAGCAATGGTATATTGTCAGAATCTTTTTTTGTGGAGTATAGTTTTCTACATGAGGCTAGAGATCAGGATGTCATTGTCACTCTCACTTTTTCAGAATGTAGTGGCAAGAATAGCACAGAGAAAGCTAAATACCTGTAGGCAAGATGAAGATTCTCTTGGTACAGAGATGGCAGCCATACAGGAAAACTAGTAGTGCATTACTTTAGAGAACTATTTCTAGGATTAGATATGAGAGAGGTATAGCTACAAAACTAGAAGAAATGTTGCTTTAGTTTAAAGCAAGAATAATGATATGGAAATGAGGGAGAGGAGAGGGTCTCCATAAAGACTTTTTTTAAAGAAAACTGGAGTTCCCTGTACTTTTAAGTACTGATTTCCATTTCTGTATTCTGATGTAACCAAGATATGGAATTATAAGTTCAATAACTATGATTTTTGTCAAATTTTTCTGTGGCTACAGTAGTGTTGTGTGATTACGGAACATTTAGGATACTGCGCAGAAAAGATTGATTTGGGGCGACTGCACATCTTTTTATCTAGCCTAAATAATGTGAAAGTTTTAGAGGAAGGAATAATCAAACATAGAGGTTAATGACAGTGGCACAAAATGAAAATGAATTTACTGGTAGCCAAGTAATCTGCTGGCTGTGAATATTAATTTCTCTTTTTTTTCATTTTGACACATGAAATCTATGTTGAATGGAAGGCATTTGATGTAATATAAAGTGGGAAATTGTTCATTAGGATAAAAAGTGAAGAAAGTGTAAAATGCTGCCTAAATGGAATATGGCAACAAAATAAATTTGTGCTATTGAACCAACAAACATTCTGACAAAAACTTAGCCAGCATTGTCAGTGGAGAGTGGGATTAGATTGTCATCACTGAATAGTGCTGAGGGAGTAGAGTAAAAGAAATGAAAATCAATAGTATGAAGTACAAGATCATGTATCTTGATACTGCAGTAAGAGCTCTGGTCAGGAAAGAAATTTTTTTATCTAAAGATAATCAGATAAGGTATTTTCAGTACTAATATTAATGCAAATGTTAAAAGGACTGGTAAGCCATCACCTGAAATGTGGAGAGATTTTAAAACAAAAGCTTTTGGAATACCCACAGTACTAAAAGATTTGAATCAAGAGAGGAAACTTGAAGAACACAGTTTTTTTTAACCCTGAAAAGTGAGGAAGTCTAGAAGGATATAAGGAGTCTTTTTAAAGCAAGGATAAGGAAACTCATTGTGTATAAATGACCTAGTCTTCAGGCACATATAGATTGTATTTCAACAGACAACTTGGTTTTGTGTGCTCACCAACACTGAAAACTCCGTTCTTTCACTTAAATTCAGAATTATTATGAGTTATTCACTTCAGTTTGGCTTGGATTTACATCTGAATCTCCTCAGCAGTAGGAGTAAATGTAGGTTTGTTGTTTTTTTTTTTCCTCTTCTGCCATTCTATTACCCTCTCGACTTTATACCGTATTTTCTAGATGAGCACGGACAAATGTTATAGATATTTCAGGTGATCTTTAGAAGAGATGCTTGGAATCTCAGTTTTGATTTGTCATCTGTTTTCACTAAATTGAAAGTTGCTGAAACTTTCAGTAATTCCAAAAGAATACCAATATATTGAGATTTAGTTTCTGTTCGAGACTGTCTACAGAAATATAGTCTTAAAGGAAAATATATCTAGTAGATGTGTATTGCAGAAATGATAAGAATGCTGAAATTTCATACTCAGGAACAACCTAAGACAATTACAGAGAAGAAAAAACTCCAACCAACTATAGAACAAGACAGACGTGTGAAGATTCTTGATCAAATACATAACTGTTTGAGATAAAAACAAAACAAAAAAAAAAAAAAAACACACAAAAACAACAGAAGTAACAAGTTATTTCACACACAGAATCACACACAGAATCACACACAGAATCACGACCTGCAAGATCATCTAGTCCAACCACCCTCCCATTCCTATTAGTACCACAAGCACTAAACCATATCTCGTAGCTCCTCATCCAGGCGCCTCTTGAACACTACCAGAGACAGCGACTCCACCACCTCCTTGGAGGTCGCCATCCATTTTTTAAAAAAGGCTTTGCTGGAAACAACAATTTGAAAATTTCAATGCTTAGTCACTGATTTTTAATATGGCTTGCAAATCAGCTCTAGGCACTGATTTTTTTTTTTTTTTTAATCTGGCAAAAAGCAAGTAGGACTTTCTCAGCTGCTACCTACATTTTTTCTTTTTAAACTTGTGTGTTTTCTGGCTCTGATCATTCTGACACTTTGTAAGTATTTTAATTTTATGCACATTTAAGACAAGACAAACTATGTTGTAAAGATACTGAACTTGATAATATATACGTCGTGTTTAATATCAATTATGTATTTCCTAGGAGCTTTCTAATTAATTTTTTTTAATTTATTTTCTTAAACTTGTGTGCACCTACCCTCAAATGCTTCTTAAGACAGCAGAGGTATGACTTTATATTAAAATCAATATTGATTTTGAAACCTATCAAGACATGAAGCACATCTTCAGTGAGCACTGTCAACTTCTAATTTTAACTCTACTTCTCTAACAAAGCAGTTTCTTAACTGCTAAAGCTAAATGATCTATCTAGTGATGGTTAGAGTTCACCAAATCACTCCCTGAAAATCTGCCAAGCCTGACATAAAATTGGAAAACTGTGATTTTGAGTAAACAGAGGGTTTTTAAAATTATGGTTATAAACTGAATTGAGTTATAAATTATAATATGAACATACACCTATATCCCCTTTACTTTTTAGAAACAGTGATTGTATAGAAATTACTTTTTTTACACTGCATTAGCATTTTCACGGTTACCATTGATCATTTTATACCTGTGTTAACCTTGCTGTTATGAATGGAATTGTAGTTGCTATGCAACATTTTAATCCAGTCATTTGGTGATTCTTGGCAGAATTTTGTGAAAGATGTGTTCAGTGAGTGCATCTCATGTTTTCTATCGCATATCTCTATGCAGAAGGAAATCACGGATCTATTACAGATCCTATTGACATCATAGGGCCAGAAACTTTTTCTAGGGATTTTGTTGGTGAAGGTAACTTTATCTTTGTAGGAACAGTATATTTTGAATGAAATAGCTGATAAAAAAATAATAAATTGCATCACAGAATCACAGAACTGTAGAGGGTGGAAGCGACCTCTGGAGTACATCTAGTCCAACCCTTCTGCTAAAGAAAGTTTGCTACGGTAGGTTACACAGGAAAGCGTACAGGCAGGTCTTGAATATTTCCAAAAAAGGAGACTCCACAACCTCACTGGGCAGCCTGTTCCAGTGCTGTGTCACTCTCACAATACAGAAGTTCTGTCTTATATTCATATGGAACTTCTTGTGTTGCAATTTGTGCCCATTGGTCCTTGTTCTGTTGCCATTAGATATTTATAAGCTTTGACAAGATCTCCTTCTAGTCTTCTCTTCTACAGGCTAAAGATCTATCGCGTTTCCTTGTTAGAGAGATGCTCCAGGCCATAATGATCTTTGTAGTCCTCTGCTGGACTCTTTGGTAGTTCCCTGTCATTCTTGAACTGGAGAGCCCAGAACTGGACACAGTACCCCAGATGTGGCCTCACGAGGGTGGAATAGAGAGGGAGGATCATGTCCCTTGTCTTGATGGCAACATTCTTTTTACTGCACCCCAGGATACCATTGGCCTGAATGGCCTAAAGGCTGGCTCTCATGGTCAACCTGTTGTGCACCAGGACACCAAAGTCCTTCTCTGCTTAACTCCTTTAGAGCAGGTCGTCCCCATACCTGTACTGATGCATGCAGTTATTTCTCTCCAGGTGCAGAACTCTACACTTGCCCTTGTTGAACCACATTAGCTTCCTCTCTGCCCAACTCTCTAGTTTGTCTAGGTGTCGTTGAATGAAAGCAGAGCCTTCTGGTATGCCAGCGACACCTCTCCGTTTTGTATCATCAGTGTTCCCTGCATTCTTCCAAATGATTGGAAGTTGCATTCCTCTTTTTTCTGGTAAGAAATTTTGCAGTTTTCTGCATCCTGTTATAGATTCTTGATGTTTCCTTTCTGCTCTTTTTTTTCTCTTAAGTCTGTGTATTGCTTCACCTCATCTCAGTGTCTGTACTTCTCTCCAGCTTGAAAGGCATGTTGACTTTACAAATTCTGTTGTGTTTCTTAACAGGCATTGTGCTTTCAAACTAGGGAGCTGGATCTTAGGTTTCATGCATCAGTGTTCAGTAACCTGTTTTCTTTGTTTTGAGGGTCTTACTTTCTTCATGATCTATCATAGAAATTTTATTTTCTGTTTTAACAGATTGTTGTTTGAGCAAGCTCTGTGATTCTTGGAGTTGCTTTAAAGCTGCCTACGGGTAATCAGAAGACAGACTGGTATAGATATATCTCAGGCTATTTAAAACTGACTGTGCTATACCTTAGTCATAAGAATAAAGCAAAATGCAACATTCAAACAATATTCTAATCAGAACAAGGCAACTATATAAGTAGGGAAACTGAGCATTGTAATTTCCTCATCATGCGTTGTAATTTGGTCACTGCTTTTATTTCAAAATTGAAAATGCAGCATGCTGTTTTGGATAAGATTTTAACTGAGAAATTTTACAGTGTTTCTTGTTTAAGGTGTTAACAGAGTTAATGTACTGTGCTTTAGTCTCAGCAGAAAACCTGGAGAAGAGCCTGAAGCATATGGAAAAGCAACTCCAACAGCTTGAGAAGGATTTGAAGACATTTCCAGTTGCTGAAGATAAGCATGATAAGTTCGTAGCAAAAATGTCCATATCCTTTGGAGTATTGTTTAGAAAAACACATACAAATAGTTTGATTGCAATAACTCAAACTTTAAATTTATCTAGCTTCAGTTTGTAGCATATATTGTTGAAAAAAAAATCTTTTCTCTTAAAAGCTAAGTACATGAACAGCCTTATTAATGGAGTCATCTGTAGTGAATGGAATTGGGGGAAAAATGCTGTTAGGTTTAACTCTGTATGTAGGTGTCTTAATGGGTGATTTTTCTCATAAGAGTATATTAGAAGAAGATGTGCATCACTCTGTATTTGTTCTTTAGTGTACGAATTACAGTTCAGAATAAGTTTGGTAGATGCAGCAATTACAACAAAAAATTTCTCCTATTGCTTAAATGAAATTTACCTTCTGACTATTTATTCCAAGCCCTCCACCCAACTGAACAGCCTGTCTCCCTCATATGTGACAGGAAGATATTTAATCAAAGTCAAGGAAATTGTTCTCTAGCTTAAACCTCTCTACTGACCTTTGGCCATGGAGAATATCCTAGGAGCAGAAATATCAACATACATAGAGAGAAAAGTTGAAATTCCCTTACCAGGCATAGTTAGTTTATTATCTAACTGGAAGTCTACTTTGCTATGTATAAAGACAGGAGGACTCAGGAGACAGTTACTCATTGCTCTTGATTAATCTAACTCTATTAAATAAAGGACAGCAAGAGACCCTAAAGGTAAGTAGCTCTTATCACTGCTGCATTAGGGCCAATTTCCTCTTCAGAAGACTAGCTGCAACCAAATTATATATAACTTGGCTTTAGGCCTTTCTCTGGACTCTGTAGTGTCTGTAACCTTCCACTGTTACTACTAATCTTTTCTGTTGTGGTTTATTTTGTTGGTGAAGCTATTCTTTGTTATTGTTCTTGTTGCTGTTGTTAGTGACTTTCTTTTCCAAATCAGTGTGGTTTTGAGAGATTTGTTGAAACTCACTAGCACGGTGTCTCTATAGTGTGAAATGTTTTTGCATCTGAAGAAGCCAGTGGTATAGAAGAGAACTTGGAGAGTTCTAAATTTCCTCCATAAAAAAAAAGATATAAAAGAAGTTAACAAAAATCATTTGGGATTGAGTGAAGAATAGCCTGAAGATATAAGTTTCACTTAAGAAGGAGAGCAGAGAGCAGTGAAGAGAAATAAATCTGTGCTAATGTCCAACATCTGAAATTCCAAAAATGATTAAGTTGAATGCCTAATTTCCTTTTGTGTTACTGACACATTAGGCATTTCTGGAACTTGATGGCAGAAAGTTAGTGGAATACTTTCATAGAAGGTTATAAATTGCATTTGAGACAGAATAGGTCACAGTTGTAAAACAATAGTGTAAGAAGTTAAAATATGATATTCAGATAGGTAAATGGGTGGACCTTGTCAGTAAATGCCATAACTTTTCTCAGAGTTAAAATTCCATCCCCATATATGAAGACTATTAGAGCAATTTACTGAGCTCTTAGAAAGGATATTGATCATCTCAGGAAAGGAAGAAATGTCCTTTTCAAGCATTTCAGAAGCAGTACTTCAGCAATACTGCTGAAGATTTAGATTATCATTGTATGTCATGAAGATAAGCCATAACCAAAAAGTTAAATTAGTTGTTTGCAAGGGTTGTCTCGGAGAGATCTTTGATTGAACCAACTGTGCAATACTTTGTATGAAGGGATGATCTCAGCTGAACTTTTTAGGAGTTTCATTAAAATAAAATAATAAATTAAATAGCAATAAATCCCCAGACTTGAAAAGATTTAAAAATAAACTCAAGTATTTACCCTTTGGATGACATATTCTTACATGAACTAAGGTAGTGTTAGACACCAGAAAAATTGGAGTTGAAAAGATGTTCTCTTTTAAGATGGCTGCAAGGAGAAACTGAGCTGTGTAGCTGTGAATCTGGTTTCTGTGCCAAGAAAAACTAATTTAGACTAAATAAAAAGATCATATATATGGGCTCAGTCTATATACATATCTATATATGTGGGTGTGTATATATATATATATATATATATACACATATATGCAAGATACACTATTAAGTGACATGGACATTGTGGTGGGTTTTATTGTTTTTTTGTCTGTTTAAGGAGAAACCATTCCTTGCAGAGCACAAATTATGCCAAGACATTCAGTAGAGCATAACTGAATATCCATGCATCTTTCAACAAGATGGGTTAACAAAGTCTTCCAAGAAAACAGATTTTTTTAAGGGAATAGTAGAATGACTACTTATTCTGGTATAATTTATAGTTAAAAAATAAAATTGAAAAACTCATGCCAAAAAGCAGATACTAGTAGGTACTAACAGAAAGGCAAGTGCATTTCAGTGACTATGAAATAGTACATCTAGAAGAAGAATGTTAGGAGTTCTTGAGAACAACTGTAGTTAAAAACAATCAGAAAGCAGAAATAAGTTGCTGTAAAAATCAGTAATAGTCTTACATCTTGAGTACTTCCATCACCCCATCTCTAAAAGTATATTGTACACCTATTGATGTGGTAGAGAATGGTGACAACAGTGATCAACAGAAAGCAGTAATTTCAGCAAGAAGGATGTTTAAATAGATTAGGACTCTGAAGCTGGAAAATTAAATGAGAATTAGTAAAGATACTTGTAAATTTATCTACCATGCAACAGGAAAGTTAGGAAGGTGTTCATTATTTCTTGTAAATAATTAGGAATAAAATCCTACTTCAGAGATGATAACATACTGACAGGAATGTTTACTCATGCAGAACACAAACTGCAGCATTTACTTTCAAGATGTTGTAGAGGTTGACAGCGTAGATGAATTTCCTTTAAGGCTTAGATAGTCAGCTAAAGATACTGTGTCTGGAGCTTAAATACATTAGTCCTGAGGTAGTTTTAGCTCATAAAAATCAGTAACCTTCAGATTCTTAGAAGCTAAATACTACATAAGTTGACTTACCATGCTACACTTTTTCTATTTCATTCTTGTTTTCTCCAATCACTGGGTATTGATTGCTGTCAGAAACAGGTGAGATGAATATTTTATCATAGTCAGAATAAATCAGTGCAAGTAAAACCAGCTACACTACGTATTTTGTTATGTTAGGCTATTCAAACAGTATTTTGAACAGAACATATTATGAACGGGAATAGTTTGCCTTCACCTACTACTTCTCCCAGTACAGAGGCAATAATTTCAGAACCGTTAAGTTGCATTTGGTTTCTAGTAATTTCTGTGAACACACTAATTAAAGAAGCTCACTTTTAGAAAAGCAGGAGCTTCAATAAATTACGAAGCAAAAAAGGTTTGATGGAAAGGTTAGATAATCCTGCACAGCATGATGAAGCCTGGACGTGTCTTGATTTTTATTCCTATGACAAGGAAAGCTGAATGATGCTGAAGTCTTGAAAGGCATGCAGCTCATAAAGAGAAACCAGTAGGAAATCTGAAAAAGGAAGGATGGTGCTTTGTTGGAAATAATTTTTCATCTTGAGTACAATTAGGCTTCATGGACAAGCAGGCTATTACATCCTGTCACAAATATCACAACCCAAAGGTCCCTAATGAACTGATTAGCATTCTTGTTTCTTCAGGAAGTCAGATATATGCACAGTTGGTGCACCCTTTTATTGACAAAGTCTATAATTATTAATATTTCTTTTATACATTAAATTGTGCTAGTTTGTCAGTGATCTTATGTATACTAGCTGAGCAGAAATTACAGTCATTATTGTAGTTCATTTGTTTGCTTTAATTAGGACAGTCAAAGAATATTGAATTGATATTGATTTATAGTATTAAATTCATTCAGTGTAATGTTCAAGAAAAAGCACAGTGAACAAAATGCATTTGTATGTTCAAAATAAACATTTAGTGGGTTTATGAAGAGAATTTAAATTACATGATGAAAGCTTAATTAAGCAGTTAATCACCATCTTCTGTATCAGTTTAGCTTACATCTAATGATTTTCTAAGGAGCAGTTGAGAAACTCTTCACAAATTTTATCCTGTTTAACCACTGAATGTATTTATAAAGGTGATTTTCACACAAGTTTATGCAACTATTACTTGAGAGACAGTAAGTTGGTTGATACCTTTCAGCTAGGAATACAGTCCTTTCTTTTTGATCAATTCTCTGTTCCTTTTTCCTTGTTGTTTAAGTGAATTTGTTAAGAGAAGGAAAGAATTGAACTTAGCCTGATTCAAGTGAGGTATAAGAAACCCAATTCTGTACATTGCCTCTAAACTATTGGTTATCCAACCAGTCATATAGTTGGAAATTTCTTCTGTACAGTGTGAAGAAATAAGACATCCTAGGATCCTAAAGGATTTTCAAGATAACAAGACCAGAGCGGGTCAAGTGAAAAAGGACTGCATGTCACTCTTTCAGAAAGGATCAAGATGTTGACTCTGTGGGCATGTAATTCATAGGGTTTGGACAAACAATGTAAATTTAACTTGAACTATGTAATTCTTTTATATATTTTCTATCTGGTCTGGACCTCAGACTCATTAACGCTGGTTTTGTTCATAAATACAAGGGATATACACACTATGATACAAATGTATGTCAATTTTTTTTTAGTATTATATCTAATATAGAGGTAAGATTGAGTGACTAAGTCAAGGAAAAGGAATTATTAGACAGATACTCTTCAGAAGATACTAATTTAAAAGTCTAAACATTAGAGTGTCTTTTTTGAACTACTGTATTCAGAGAAGAAATTTTACTGTTGATCCTTGCTGTGTACATAAAATGAAGTCTCTGTGATATGTATTTTTCAGATAATTGCAACTACTTCCCCAAGAGCTTCATGTGGGAAATTCTCGCTGGAGCCCTGCATAATTTGTACCCTCTGGCCTTAAAATAAATAAATAAATTAAATTTAAAAATTGTTCATTGAAATCCTGGTTTGAGGTGACCTCAATCTACTTACACCAGTCTTTGAAAAATTTGCTGTGTTTTTACAGAGACTGTTGCTGGCTTATATAATGACAGTCTCAGTTCCATTTTGAAGATTCTGTTGAAATACATACAGCATCTGTGCACTTATTAATCTTTTGTACTTATGCAGGATCAGATTCCTTTTTGAATTGCCTATGTTTAATACATGGGTTAGTTTGTCAAAATGTCACATGCAATGAATGTAAGGTCTTCTGAGAAAATGTTTGGAGTACTAATGTAATTTGTTGTCTACCGTAGAGTAACAGCTGATTTTACGTCTTGATACACTCCACTATATTAGTATTTTACATAGCACAATATATTAAAATCAATACAGCTTTAAGACAAGCAGTCCACTATGAAAAAAGCTGCCATGAATATGCAAGACCAAATATATAGTATATGGAAATTCCACAACAGATACTACTCATTTCAGCCCCGCATTGCTTTTCTGTTCCAATAATGAGCAGAATGATGATCTGTAGTCCCATGAGTTCAAAAAGGCTGTCCATGAAGTGAAGCCATTTCAGAAAAAGTTAACAAATAACTAACTTCTTGATTTGCTTTTCCTCCCACCTGTGTTGCAGCTTTGCTGTACTTCTGTTTTCATTCATCCAAAGCCAATGAATCGTGTAGCTGATAATGCACATATATCAACCTGTTCATAATAATTACAGTTGGGATTGCCGTGCTCAGTAGTATTCCCTGTTGCCTCCAGTTTAGCTAGTACTGGCTAACAAAAGCTGTATTTAAGGAAAAAAGGAAGAGGACTTATTAAAAGTAGCTAAATTGAAGCACAGTCTCAGTAGAATGCCAGGAGCTTAGGGTATCCCATAGCATACCAGACAGAAAATAAAAATCTCAGAATTCTCTGTCTGGTAATGAAATACTGCATAGTAGCACATCTTTCCAGAATGCTGCATTTTGAGTTTAAAATTTTGCACCATGTATTTGAGAGGAGTCAGTTCCAACAGTTTAATATAAACATTATATAGAAACTATTAGCATAGTTGTAACTGTACTTACATCTTGTAGAATATCACAGATCTTCTCAAAAGTTTCCTTTTTAGTGTATACTGGCTTATCATTCATTTACAACATTAAATATACATTTTATTTATATTTTTAGCTTTTGTAAGATTTTTTTTTTTCCTTCTTAGAATGCTGAAGAAAGTTACTGGCAGGTTTGATACATGGCATTTGTACCTATTGTAAAAAAAAAACAATTTACCTGGTTTTCCTTTAGCATTCCAAGCTATGGAAATAAACAAGCTCAAAAATGCAATAGACAGTTATTTCTATCCAAGTTCTATTGGTGATCTAAGATTTATATACAAGTATAGTATGAAAAATGATCAAGATGCAAAAACATTTTCCTTGGCTTAACGTTAATTTTTGTTTCCTACTGTGGCAGCTTTTTTTTCTTTCTTGAACTGCTGACATTTCTTTAGGTGGTCCTAATGTGTATTTGTGCCATGCTTTGTTATTCATAATTCCTTTTTTTTTTTCTTTATTTAATATTTGGGCAGCTGTTGCATACTGATCTCTCATCCACTTTCCTTGCTATCCCACCAGTAAGTTTTATGCACGTTGGGGAATAAGTAAAAGAATGTTTGAAAACTAAGTACAACAAACTATAAAGACGTCTTATAGTGAAGATCAAATGGGATTCGGTCTCTAAGCTAAACAAGTACATGCTATAAAATTTGAAGAGTAAAAATAATCACCCAGTAGTGAGTTGTTCCTATCAATTTGAAATAGCAGAGATAACAAAAATTCTATTTCTTTGTTTTTAATTCACCTAATCAAAAATCCCATTCTTCATAAAAATAAAATGGTAAATAGTGTATGTATTTGTGATATAAACAGTTAATTGTCTTTTATAGTAATTGCAGTGGGCAGTGGGAGAAAAGGTGAAGTTGTTATTTTTTGTCTTTTACATTCTTTTCAGGAGCATGAAGAGAACATAAATATTTGTTTAGTTGCTTTTTTTTGTTCCCCTATATTCAGCACTCGTGAGGCCGCACCTCGAGTACTGTGTCCAGTTTTGGGCCCCTCACTGCAAGAAAGATATTGAGGCCCTGGAACGTGTTCAAAGAAGGGCAACAAAGCTGGTGAGGGGTCTGGAACACAGGCCATATGAGGAGAGGCTGAAGGAGCTGGGAATGTTCAGCCTGGAGAAGAGGAGGCTCAGGGGAGACCTTATTGCTCTCTATAACTTCCTGAAGGGAGGTTGTAGTGAGCTGGGGGTCGGCCTCTTCTCTCGTGTCATCAGTGATAGGACCAGGGGGAATGGTTTCAAGCTACGGCAGAGGAGATTCAGGCTGGACATGAGGAAGTATTACTTTTCAGAAAGGGTGGTCAGGCACTGGAATGGACTGCCCAGGGAGGTGGTGGAATCACCGACCCTGGGGGTGTTCAAGGAAAGGCTGGATGTTGTGTTGAGGGACATGGTTTAGTAGGAGCTATTGGGAATAGGTGAACGGTTGGACTGGGTGATCTTTTAGGTCTTTTCCAACCTTAGTGATTCTATGATTCTATGATTCTATGATTTTCCATTTATGTAAATACTTATGAAATTGTCACACAGACCAACATGCAGTATTTCTTCTTTGAGCTTTACAAAGCCATGAATAAACTGTTATTTTTTATTTGATTCCATTTGCTATGCAGTATTTTGGTGCTTTTTATAAGTTGTCTATCTTTTTTGGGAGTAGTTCTGTTGTTTTCACCTCTAATTTAATTAAATTGTATTTGCATTGTAAATAGCCTTGGAAAGCATAAATTTCTGATGCAGTCACTAGAAATAAAATCGGAAGCAATACTGCTGCCATATTAACATTCTAGAGAGCTGTTAGGATGAGGGTTTTTTCTCTTATATTTATTATTTTTAATACTGTTGTTTACTGACATTTCTATTTTTACTGTATTTGAAGTAATAATTACAGTATTTCTCAATATGTTAAAGTATTCCAGTTAGTTACTGATATCTAAATTTCACTTTGTTTTTATATATGTGGCAGAATGGCACGCATTTTAGTGAAGTTAGCTACTAGTTCTAAATCAAATTATATAATTTATATATTTTTAAATGAGTATATTTCAGAAATATATTCTAAGTCTCTAATTTACTTAACTAAATTACATGTTTGACCTTAAAGATAATTGTGCATATGTTCTTAAATGAACTCAGTACTCTTGCAGCCTTAACAGCAGCATACAGCTTTCTAATTCATGCCAAAGAAGATTTTCAGAAACTTTCAGGGATGCATGAGAACATGGAAAAACTGTATCAGAATGTGATGAGGTATTTTGCAATCGATCTGAAGAAAGTTTCAGTGGAGGAGTTTTTGACCGACTTAAACAACTTCAGGATGATGTTCATGGTATGGTTTGTTTATTTATTCCCTAACATTTCTTAAAAATTACTTTTGTAGTCTTCACATTCCTGAACAAAATAAAATAATTTTCTTCTGCCTCAAAAAGCATCTGATGCACATTACAGAAACTTTTTTTGTTCCTCCTAAATTCTGCTAAGTTACGATAATTAGGTTTTGAGTTATTATTTTTGGATTATTTCTTTTTGAAAGAAATGGAAATTCTTTATAACGATGAATGTAATTTAAATCTGAACATCTTACATTTATTTATAATCTGAATAGGAAAAATATGAAACTCCACTTTTCTTAAAACAGCTTTTTCTTTTTAAAGGATGCTTGTTAGTTATTTAAAAATAAAAAATAGCTGTCATTCTATGTATTCTTTTCCCATATAAAATCCAAATCCAGAAGTTTATTTTATTTAATGATAATGTTCTCTGAGTGTTTGTTTTTTATGTATTTTTAAATCTTTCTTATCTCGCCTTTTAAAGAGATGATCTTTTGGGGAGAAGTAGCAAAGAACTATTTTATAGTTTTTAATGTCTTTATTATCTGTGAGAAACAGCCATTAGACTGATGCAGGTTATTTTTAGATAGCTTTTCATGTATAAAGCTCAATACATTGTCGAAAGCATAATTCAAACTCACTTTCAGTTAGTAGATGTTTGCTTTAGAGTTATCTAAAATAGTCATAAATTGAGGCTAGTTCAATATTTCTTATATCACAGGCCATCATCCTGCGACCATTATATATAAACATATATATAAACTTTCACAACTAGTGCAATAATAGCTCAGCATAAAGGTTTAAAGTTTTTTGGAAATATAAATTTTTCTTTAGATATTTTTTTGAGTCCTGACATATTTTCATTATGTTTACAAATACTAATAATAAGCATTATTTAATCTCAATGTGGTGTTCTTATTATTCTTTGTTCCACCAAAATATGATTTAAGAAGTTTTAACGAGTTTTCCTTCTTAAAAGTGAAGTAGAAATTTCTCAAACAGTATTTCTTTAAACATTTTTTTAGAGTTTTTTTAGGAGCTCACTATATATGGCTACAAACAACTGTCTTGGCAAATTTCAGGATAATCTGTTCTCCAAAAGATATTGCAAGTTCTTTTATCATTGCCAGTATACTTCTTCTGTAAGAAGGTTGATTAATTTGATGCACTTCAGAATACATAAACAAGACTGGCACAACCCTCTATTTCAAATACCAAAGCAAATTTAGGAAAGTCTGAAATACTTTTTTGGAGCTCCTGTTTAGGCTTAGTGAGGATCACTGTTTTGGTTATTTATAATTATGCTCAGATTGGTAAGGTTATGGAGGCCAGGAAGAGTTTGTTGATTTTCTGTGTTTTTTGTGGTCATTGTTTCTTTTGTTTGTGGCTACTTCTGATTACATGGCTTAATTTGTAAGCTATGCTCCTGCAGGAAGGAAATCTTAGAATCAGCTTTGTGATGCAGACTGGTGCAGTGATCAAACTCTTCTGTTGATCTGTTGAAAGACTCAGTTGCTCATTCTGCCATCTTCATATTGCAGCCTAACACTTATCATTACAATATATTTAGGCTGCTCCTGTGTTTCCCAGTTTTGTTTATTTGTTGTTGTTATTTTTTAATGTTTTCAGACTTGTCAGAGAGTATAGTCAGGAAAAATACTCCTGTATATACTGAAACTTGGGTGAAATTCCTTTGCCCTTCCATTTTGAGGAAAGTACTTAAAATGGAACACATATTTAGCAGAGGTATTAGGATGTGTAAAGATTATCGAAGCTCTGCTGCTTCAGAATTCAATGACTAAAATTCTAGAAGGTGCCGTCTTCAATTAAAATAATTTTGCTCAGCTAGCTACATGTTGCATGACATTCAACAAAGGTAAGTGCTGGATCTGGGTCCCATGCAGTGACATAGAATTTGGGAATAGCACCTAAAAACTTTCCCATCAGAAAAGGGCCAGGAGGTTCTGGTTGGCAACTGGCTGAACATGAGCCAGCAGGATGCCCAGGTGATCAAGAAGGCCGATCACATCTAAGTGTCCATCCTCATGTATGCAGCACTGCTGAGCCATGCCTCGTATCCTGTATTCAGTTTTGAACCCCTCACCACAAGAAAAATACTGAGTTGCTCAAGTGCATGCAGAGGAGAGTGACAAAGCTGGCTGAAGGAACTAGGAAAGAGGTGTTCCAAGGAACAACTGAAGGAATTGGGGTTGTTTAGTCCGGAGAGGAGGAAGCTGAGGGGAAACTTCATCACTCTCTGTAACCATCTGAAAAGAGATAACAGCAAAGAGGGTCACTTTTCTAAGGTTACAAGTGGTAGCAGTGAAGATACTGACTTACGATGTGCCAGGAAATGTTTAGATTGGGTACTAGGAAGAATTTCTTCCTGGAGACGGTAATCAAGCTTTAGAATAAGTTGTGCAGAAAAATGGTGGGGCCTTCAGCCCTGGAGGTATTTAAGAGATGTGTAGACATGGCACTAAAAGACATTATTTAGGTAGGTTAGGTTGATTGTTGAACTTCATGGTCTTGAAGGTCTTTTCCAAATGATTTGGTGATTCTGTATGCCTGACTTCTCAAACACACACACCAGTTATATTTTCCAAACTGTTGCTAATTTGAAACCCAAGAAACCTATTTCAAAATTTCTAAATGTTATGAAATAGTTATATTAATTTAATAGTAAAATTATAGTTTTTAACCCACATCTTCTATTTAAATCCTGTAGAATAAGAATTCTAAGTGCTCAGATTCATCTTGAACTGGAGATACAAAGTAGTGGTTGTCCTTTATCTTAATTTCCCTATAGTTGCTTTCCATAAAACTAGCACAGATACTAAGAACCTGCTTCACAGCTGTGTTATAAAGATAGATTCATTAATGCTTTGAAACAGTTAGTTGTTATTGATGAGCATGATAGAAGAAACCTTGAGGAAAATTAATAATTCTGTCTTGCAGAGCACAATTTGAAGGCTATATGAAGAAGGTGTGTAGATAAGGCATGAAACCACTTATCATTCAATGACAGTAAACAAAATATTGAGTAGTTGCTTGGGTTTTAGCCTATTTGGAAAAGATTTTTGGGATGCCTAGTGTGAGACACCTGAGGCCTAATTTTCAGAATTGTTTAGAATTGGTTTTGATTACTGACACAAGTGAAAGATGTTTGGAAAACTTAGCTAAAAAGATGTTTAAACTTAGTGCTACACCATTATTGGATTCTTAAATAGTCTAAAACAAAAATACAGCTTTAGTCATTGCTATGCATGGGAACATTAAGTTATGTCATCTCTGTTGTTCAGCAAAGCTGACAATTTAAATACATTTTTATTCACTTAGGATACTTTTGTATTTTTCGTTAATGAAAACTAAGCAGTTTAAAATCTGGAGCCATAGTTTACAAGTTAATAGCTAATACTGGAATGCACTTTATACTTCAGTGTTATCTGTTAGCTGTAGCAACTAACATTAGCACTCTGTGACTACCAAATCTAGTGCATATTTGGTTGGCTGAGTCCAAAATACGGGTGAAGCACCTTACCTTCAGTGCTGTAATGCCTGCAGATAAGTTCCCAATACACTTACTGCAGCATCTTATTTATCTGAAATGTCTGTTCACCTGTGCTTTCATACTGCTGGATGTACTGCTAGTAGGCTCACTCCTTCCCTTGAGAAAAACAGCTTTTTGAAATAATGTGAAGCAATTGTAATATTTTTCCTCCTTATTTTTCTCTAATGGTTAGAATTTTCCTGCAGTAGTGTGTTTTGGAGAAAGCAAAAGATTTTTTGAATCAGTAACTTTTAAGTGCAACACAGCATAGAAATCGCAGAACTACAGAAATCCCTTGCTCCTATTGCTACTAGATTGTTTTGCAGCAGAAATGACAGAAAAGTTTGAATCAGTGCTATAGTAAAAGCATACACACAGAAGAAGACATTAACATTTGTTTCCTAGACTCTAGAGCATTTATCTTCTGCATTATATAAATATTTAAAAATCACAAACGATCCAGGAAAGCACAACAGTGAACCCAAGAATACCTCCATCCCAGAAACTGTAAGCCTTGGCATTTTATGCAAAATAAATCTACTTCTGAACCCTTCTGAACAATATATTTGTGTACTGTGTTGGTATATAGTAGATGTGGTCAGACTGTGTGAAGTGTTTTAGCCTTTTTGAGCAATCTAATATTAAGACATCTAGTTTTTGAAATGCAAATGGCATGAGACGTAGAACATTTAGGGTATTAGGGTATTGTTTAGAACATTTTAGGATTTGATTACAGGAGATAGGCTTCTAAATGTATGCATCTGCATCTTGTCTTATCTGATGGCATGTGGTCAGTTTTTGTTTAATTGTTGCTTTCAAAGGAGCTCTGTCACCTCAGCTCTGTCAAGCACTATGTCTTGGAGTGGTGTCTCAAGTGGTGTTTGAGGCATCATCAGTCTGAAATTCTAAGTTAAGTCACAGGACTTGTGGGAGGTTGTTGTCCTACTGAGGGAGAGGCTGAAAGCAGGATGTGATGCTCCAGAGCAACCAGTGTGCACTGGATATGAAGGTGTGAGCTACTAAATTAAGTCCCGTCGATCATTTTAATTAGAAAGGAATACATACCTAAATTTGCATTGTTACAAGCTGAGTTCTACTGATACTATTTTGGGGAAAAAATGTTGATGTGAAGTAGAATTTTCTTTGATTGCTCCGTTAGTCAACTACGTAATTCCTTTCTATAAAGTCCCTTTATAGAGTTTTGCTGTCTAGTTTATTTTATTGAGTGCTCAGTCTGAAAATCTGCAAATAATTTGTTAAAATTAATTCAATCGAGAACTTTAGCATTCTTTAGTAGGTTTCTCCCCATCACCCCGTCAAGAAAATTGATAGGGGTGACCCTAGAGAAGATACTGGGGAAGTAAAGTTTTGCTGTATTTTTTAAAAAATCCTTTCATTTCAAAGTAATTTTTCATGATTGAAAGCTTTCAAATTTCAGTTTTCAAGGAGGAGCATTTTCTTATAAAATCCATGTACATTTTTTCATTGTAAGAGAATAACAGAATGGCCCGGTTGGAAGGGACCACAAGGATCATGAATTTCTACCCCGCCTCCTTCCCCGCCACATACAGGGCCACCAACCTCCCCATTTAATGCTAGACCAGGCTGCCTAGACTTGCTGTGTGGAGCCTCATTAGATTCACCCAGGCCTTCAAGTCTGAAAAGTCTTATCTTTCATCACTGTCTATTGCATTGATGTTACAAGCAGTGCCTGCGCAAATATTGCTCTAATCCATATTTATCCATGCTGTATTGGATCACAGAATCACAGAATAATGTAATGGCATGGATTGAAAAGGACCTCAAAGATCATCTAGTTTCAACCCCCTGCTATGGGTAGGGTCACTAGCCACTAGACCAGGCTGTCCTGGGACAGAAGAGTGAATTCTTCAGTCCATTCTTACATTTTCTCAAATTGCAGGCTTGAGATTTTTCTTCTAAAAACAACATCAAACAATAACTATCATTGCAAACATGCCAATCTTGCATAAGAACTTAAGAAAATTTTAAATATTTTGTAGGAGGTGACAAGTTTGATCTGTTGTGAAAGATGGGATGTTGTATGTAATTGCAGTATGAAAAGAGAAAATTTATTCAGTGAAGAATAATATGCTGTTAGTTTTTCTTGTAAGACCTTTAAAATTACATTAAGAATCCTCCCTATATGAAACAACTGTAACATATGTAAATTAAGGAAAATTTTGAGCATATGTATTGGCACATGTATTGCAGCTGCAGTGCACTTTACATTGGATGTAACCCACATAGCTATGTACCAGCAGACACAGCTGATATTAAAATAATGAAGTTTATCTTAAAAGCACTGTTTAAAAATATTATTGAAATTGATTTTTTTTTGTTAGTGTCTAGGTATGCAAAAGAATGATTTTAAAATTCTGAAACTCTGTTCTATTTTGGCTTCATTGGAAGATTTGTAGTACTTATTTATGATTCAAAATAAGGAACGTAGTAGGAATATTATCCAGAAAAATAGAATTTATAAACGCAGTGAACTAATGTTTATGTATGTAGCAGTAAGAAAAATGAACTAATAAGTCACCAAAGCAATTTTGTTTCCTTTGTCTTAGTAGTATTATGAGGAAGAATAGATCTTGAAATTCCTTTAGAACTACAAGTAAAGAACATAAATTTATAGTTTTCTGAAAACAGGTTGTTTAAATATTTTGACTTCTTCCTTCACTAATATATTTATTTATAAGCTGTAATTCTTGCTGAAATTTATAATCCCATTTGGAGCCGATTAGTATGCTTTTAATGTATTCATTCTGAATTTGCTTGTTCTTCTGAATAAAATGTACTGTATGTTGAATGTAAAATATTTGATAAGATTAGTTAGAATATTGAATTTTTAAGTTTTCTTTGTTTTTAAGCTCAACTTTTGCTAAGAGCAACCCTTTTTTTGCACAGCAAGCAATAAAGGAGAATATAAGAAGGAGAGAAGCAGAAGAAAAGCAGAGACGTGCTAAAATAGCTAAGGAGAAAGCAGAAAAAGAAAAACAAGAGAGGCAACAAAAGAAAAAGCGTTTGTTAGAAATGAAAACAGGTGAGTAACGTAGAAAGGTAAGGTTGGTGTGAAGGTTGGTATACCTTGAATCACAAATAAGTTCAGTTATGCTGAGAACTTGTTATGTTATCTGAGAATAAATATTCTCCAAGTCATAAAGCCATTTTTATTTCTTTTAACTAAGATTACATATTCATTTTGTTCTTTTAAGAGAATGCCTGGTCTGAAGTACTATGGATTCTTCTTTGAATATGTCAGTTGTTATTCCACCAGGTCCCTATTGAAACACCTTCAAAGTAACCTCATCCATGCATTTTTAAAGTTATTCATTTATTCTGTGTTGTCTTTTCTACCAAGAGACTACAGACACTGTAAATTCCCTGTTAGTAAGGAAGATCTCTGATGATTCTCTATACTGCTATATTTTATCTTAGATTGAGCTTCTGGAATCCTTCAGAATGATATACGACTTTCAGTGTAAATTATCATGAGCTACTTTCATTTTTTCTGAGCAGATCTTGTTACGAAGTTCCCCACTCAATCCTTGGTTCACACCTTTGGAATAAATGATTAGCTGTCTCTTCCACGTTTCACTAATATCCAGAGTAGATGTGTGCCTTGAGGTGTGATACTAAAGTTTTCTATTAAGATAGAAATCAAGAGACTCTCCTCAAAACAAAGAAATGTAAATTTTTTAGAAGTAAATGTGACACTCTTTTAAAGTTCAAAGAATGTAGTATTGAAGACTTGAAAGAGGGTAAAAATAGTGGCTGCATTCTTGCATGTTTGGAAGCGTTTCAAAAAAATTAGTTATTCTTCTCTAAGACGTCGTAAGAATGACTGATAGTGCTTTGGATATACAATTGATAGTCCTTTGGGGAAAACTAAAGTTCCTCACAGTTTCGTTTTTCCTGTATTTGTGTTGAAACTTTCTGTGAAACAGGTTCCAGCGTTACAAACTTCTGAGTCACGTGCCCACATGTGTATATGGGACTCTGGTAGCTAAACCCACTCCTTCAACTACGTGGCTGTGAACTATATGTATTTGTCATCCAGAAATCATCTAAATCATTGAGTAAATAGCTACTTTGTCTGTTAGTAGGTTGTTTTCGTTTGTTTGTTTTAATTGATCACATAAACGTACAGAAAGATTTCTTTCCTTCGTTAGCAGCTACATAAGGCCCTCATCAAATGGGAAAAGAGAATGTTGGAGTCACCTGAAACTATAAATGTATTGGATCTGATATTTGGTAAATTGGCCACTGCTGCTGTTGGTTTCTTTTTGTTGTTGTTGCTCTGCAGAGCTCTTTATAAGGTTTCTTGTGCTTGTCAGTTTGAATTGTCATTTTAAAAGTCTATTAGAAAACCCAAATTCTGGCAGTGGAAAGCACTTAAGGTAGATTTATTTGTCAAAAAGTACTGCAACAATGATATGAAAAGTGGAAGCTTTGGGGGAAGGGGAGGTTGTTTATTTTTCTACTTTGGCAGTTTTATTGCAACCATATTTACTAAGAAGAATAGCAAAGACTTTCAAAAAAAAAAAAACACAAAAATTACTTTTTTCCCGCTGTTTTCCTTCCCACAGCTTGTTCACTGAAAGACTAAGTCTTCTCTTTAAGAATCTGTGAATCAATTAAAAAATATTTACATCTGACCTGCTGGCAAACATTTAACCAGACCCTCCCTCTGTCCAAATACATAAGCACTAATATCTAAGGGTGACAATGTGGAGTAACTGATTTTCTGCTACATTTCACTTCTTTATAGGGTTTCTAGATCAGATATTGGATTTGTAGGGTCATTATTTCAAATGTTGTGTGAATGAAGCCACTCAAAATTCCTTGATGTCACCATCCCAGAAAACATTTTATTGCATTTAAACAGATGCATACTTGAGAATAGTCTATATGTACTGACTGATTCTATAAGGCATTTTTTTAACTGGACAGATCACAGTGTACTCTGCATCTCTACTTTCAGTTTTCAGTAACATCTTGTTTTAACTGCAAATGGCATGAAGGTTAAGCATGCCTCTGTATCACTGTCCTATATGCCACTTCTGATTTAACAATTCTGTTACACTTCAAACAGAACTTTATTAGATTGATGCTTATTCTTAAATATTGCATTTCATTATCACTTCAAATTATGTTTTACTTTCCATCACTATCAGTACGTATTCAAGCAGTTAGTCCTTAATGTTTGTACCCTAAATCTGATGTGAGTTTAAAAAAAAAAAAAAAAAAAAGCCAAAAACATAGGGCTACTTTTGTATAGCAAGTAGTGATAACCTACCATTGATTGCTAGCAAAGTGACGTGAACAAATTTGAGAGCCCTTCAGCAAGAGAAGACAGAATTGAATTTATTTTTTTTCTCTCTTCTGTTTTCTCTTTCTCTTCACTCATGCTCTAACAAGGTGGCTTAGTTTCTAGACACTTTCCAACCCTTTTTCTGTTATCCTTAAATTACATGATGTATAGTCCTTTAGAGAGCACATTCCCAGGCTGTAGCAGTGCCTTCAGCTGATATTTTTTTTCTTAGCTGCCAGTTCTTTTCTTAAATATTAGAGCAGTCTTTTCTATAACTTGCTTTAAGTTGTGCATTTTTTCAGTGACTATTAGTTGACAAATAGTGACTACAGTGTGTTTACATTTTTGGAGCTCCAGCTTTCAGAGTGTATCCATTAATTCAAGGCCTGAACTGCTATCCAGTGCTTAAACTGGGTTTATTTCATCATACTGAACTTCTTTTGTTAACCACTGCTCTTTTTTACAACATTGATGCTTAAGTCTAGATTGTCTTTTGTTCTTGAAGTCCCATTCTTTGGATTGCTTCATCTCTCACCTGCTTTTGAGATTTATTTGAAGAGTAAGGTTGTCTTGTCTATGGTGTCACCAGATGCATGAGGCAATTTATGTCTTGAATAAGTGACTCATATAATGCTATAAAAAAAAAGTTAGCTATTTGGGGAATATTACTGACTTTTTTTTTTTACTTCAGATAAACCTAGGATCTTAACTGTACAAGAAAAATATGGATTTTACCTAACTTGTACTTTAATTGAACAGTAAGTTGTATACAGCATACTAGGACTGTATCTACCAGTCACATACCAGGTTTGTCTAGCACTACATAGATTGTATATTAACTTAAAAGGAACGTGATCCCAAATTTAAGACAACTTCTGATTTGTAAGTTATGGATGAATACAATCATTTCATCATTAGTAAGTGACACAATTCAAACATGAGAACTGAGGTGGTCCTACAATAGACCAGCCTTCTCCTGGACTTTAATAGTCTTCTTAGCCTTTGTTCTGCTTTTGATATAAAAATGATTACTTTGACATGTAGATTGCAACTTACATGCTGTCATTCATACTTCTGGATCAGTCTGCCTTTGGAATATGTTACACCAAGTTCAGCATTTATGCAGTCATTTTCTAAAATTACGTAAATACGCATAGTGTGTGATACATCTTCATAAAGCTTTTGCTTTGTTTTTTTTTTTTATATTTAAGCTATAAGTATATTCATATTTTCTAAATTGTAAAATATGTTTAGGATCTTATGAATATTTTGAAAAAATTTGAACTTTGTAATCTAAATTCAAATTTCTGCTAATAAGACCGTAGATTTTTGTTATTTATGTGGAATTGCATGATTTATTTTCTTGCAAGTTTTTTTTTTTTTTGTGTATGTGTGAGTTTGTATTTTTGAAACTTAACCAAATGCCTTATCCAAATCCATGTAAACTGTAGTTTGCTAACATTCTGCATCTCTACATCTTAGACAGTAACACTTCTGTGGCCTAATGATCACAGCTCAAATGCTTCCCTGTTATAACAGGCTGAAGCTTAAATTCACATAATATAGACGTAAGTTTCAGATATTCCTCTGAGTTCCATCCTAACTTGAAAGCCAGTGGAACTCAGTAAAAAATCTTTACTTTACTTGCATCTGTGAAGACAGTCTAAACTATCACTTACTATGGTTACAAAGGTAAATAACTTGTAGAAGGGGATCTTTATGTAAATATCACTTGTCTTTATACTATTAACATTCAGATATGTGCTTTCTTGTGTTGTTCAGATTCTCAGCAGAAAACACATCAATCAATTATTTTGATCTTATCACAGTGTAAAGAATTCTATAACTGTGATAACACCAGCAAAATTTATTGTAATATAATTGAGAAGTCCATCATTGTGGCATCTTCATCGTGTCTTTCCTTGAACACTATTTAAACAACAAGCCACACTTTAGTCAGTGGATATTTACAAAGCATGCCCTTCTTTATGCTAAAGCAGTGAAGTGATGTCAAAATGATTTCTTAACATTCTATATGGGAAATCTGATGTTTAGTTTGTTTTCATTGCTGTTTCTCAGTTTCACTTTTACCACCAAAAACTGGGTTTAAATCCATATTTCAGTTGATTTAGAAAGTTATAGCTTAATTTGAAGTCAGTTTTGCAGCATTCCTTTTTGCAGAGCTGTCTGTATTGTTTACATGGTTTGGGGAAAAAGGGGAGTCACATGTTTCACAGATTTGCTGGAAGTGTTTTATGCTTTGATTCTTCTTTATTACTGTCAGCTACATTGTGAAATATGAATATTTTCATTAGTTGAGAAGTGCTCTGCAAAGCAAAAAGGCACTGAGTATCCCAGCACTGATAGTTTAAACAATGAAAACTGTAAACATAATTAGAATTCTGATTCCATCAGATAAAACTGAACAACAGCAACACTCCCTCTATTAATAGGTGCCCTCAAAGACCATATTTTCCCCATCCAGTCTAAGTTCATAAGGCCTCCATTTTGTTAATTTCATCTCGCTAGGGATGGAGAATCAATAGTTCTTAATGTGATCCTTCCCTCAGAGGGGAGTGAAAGATCGCACGTATTGCATATTATAAAAATCGGTTTCTGATTCATAACAATTGAAATGTCATCAGTGATTTCTAACATATGTTAATAATCTGTTGTCTGTAGGGTGATTTTCTACAAAAAACTCAAGTTCTGGACAACTGTAGGATTATTGCTAGATTTGACATATTCTGGTATATATATTATATATATAATTGTTTTGTGCAATTAAATTTACTGTTAAGTGGGCAAAAGTTCTGATAATCCTGTATATGAAGAAATCCTGAAGGTATGACATTAATATCCAACAATTATTTTGTGTAAGGTCTCTCTAGGGAATTGTCCCTTTCAGAATTTCCCTACCATTGATAACACTTTCTACTTGTGCCCTGACTTTTGAGTTGCACCACTGATACTTACGTGTGTTCTCTTCAACAAGGGGACTCCTGAGGTAACATTTTTGTCATTTAAATTTATTCTTCAGGACTTAAGCAGAAGGAATTACAGGACTGTATGTCATTGTCTAGTTACTTATTAATACTCTGTGTACAGTTAACAGTAAGCTCATGACGAAGTTGGATTGTAGATGTAATTTTGCTTTATACCACTTGGAAGGAAGTCAGGAAGGCAGGAAGGAAAAAAAAGAAGGAAGGAAAAAGAAAGAATGAGGAACAAGATGTGACAAAAATTGACCATGAATCCACAGGAAAGTAGACACAGGAGACACAGGCTGATATGTCGCTAAGCATGGAGCTTGTTTTTCAGCTGCAACTATATTGCCTTGGCAGAAAAGCATAAATTATTGAAAGCAGATGTTCCCTCAAGAATATTTGTCATGTTTGTACTTGAAAATAATGCGGAGAATGATAAATATGCAGGTATGTTTCATTAAAAAAAAAAAATAGCCTGAAAAACAATGTGCGGTATGTCTTCAGAGGCCACATCAAAAGTTGAGATACAGCAAAACCTCATCGCATCTCACACAGTAGGATGTTCAGGGAATTAGATACTTGTAGTACAAAAAGGAATAGAACTGATCAGAGTGTATATTAGTTAGAAACCAACTAATAGTCATTACAAGTCATATTCTACCAAGATCTCAAAGGTGCTAAATCTTCTGAAATATACAGTAATTAGTTTATGCACTTGCTAGTAATCCATAGACTCAGAATGCAGCAGTTACTCTTCATTTGTATGAAGTATTTGTACTAAACTCCAAAAAAAAAAAAAATAGCAGAAGCATTTTTTTTTTTCTGAAAATTTTACTTAGAAGTGAAACCTATGGAGATAGTAGCTGAACGGCATTTGGGAAATTCATGTTTATATAAAGGCATGGGAAAAAATAAATGACAGCAAATTTTGAGTGAAAAAAAATAGTCAAAACAAACAGCACTCTTTAAAAAATATCTACAAACATATCTTTATTGACTTTTGTTCTCAGAGGACTTGTCATTTATGTGATAGCAGTAAGATTTCTAAAGAAATGTGTATAAAATGCTTGAAACTTTAAACGGTTTAAACTTTAAAAACAGTGGGAATCTCTGGAGCCATGTTTGGAACATTTTGCAGACATGCAGATGATAGCAGCTTTTTGAGCATTTATTTCCAGGACACTGCGGCCTGTCCTGTTTAATATTTTTACTGATGACCTGGACCAAAGGATTGAATAGACCCTCATTAAGTTTACAGATGACACCAAGTTGGCAGAAAGTGTCAGTCTGCCTGGGGTAAGAAGGTCCTACAGAGGGATGTGAATAGGCTGGATAGCTGGGCTGAGGCCAGTGGGATGAAGTTCTACAAGACCAAGTACAGGGTCCTTCACTTTAGCCACAACAACCCCACACAACACTGCAGGCTTGGCGCAGAGTAGCTGGAAGACTGAGGAAATGGACCTTGGGGTGTTGGCTGACGCTTGGCTGAACATGAGCCGGCAGTGTGCCCAGGTAGCCATCCTGGCTTGCATCAAAAATAGTGCAGCCAGCAGGAGTAGGGAGGTGATTGTCCCTTGAGTACTGTGCTCAGTTTTGGACCCCTCACTAGAAGAAAAACGTCAAGGCTCTGTACTATGTCCAGAGAAAGACAACAAAGCTTGTGAAAGAACTGGAGCACAAGTCTTATGAAGAGCAACTGAGGGAACTGGGATTGTTTAGTCTCAAGGAGGCTCAGGAAAGACCTTAGTGCCCTCTACAATTACCTGAAAGGATACTGTGGTGAGATGGCAGTCAGCCTTTTCTCCCACGCCATAGGACTAGGGGGAATATTGTCAGGTTGCACCAGGGGAGGTTCAGGTTGGATATTAGGAAATATTTCTTCTCTGAAAGAATGGTCAAGTGCTGGAACAGCCTGTTCAGGGAAGTGATGGAGTTACCATTCCAGGAGGTGTTCAAGGAACACTTAGATGTTGTACTGAGGGACGTGATTTAGTGGGGAAAAACTGGTGAAACGTGGATGGTTAGACTAGATGATCTTAGAGATTTTTTCCAAACTTATTGATTCTATTATTCTATGATTCCTACTCCAAATATTATCCCTCATCTCCTCCATAAGCAGGGATATATTAGAGTCCTCTTTAATCTCTCTCTTGAACTACTTGTAAATGCCTTTTATTCTTGGAGTACATTTTTTTTTTCCCCGAATCTTCATAAGTTTCTTCTTTCCAGTGGCAACAGGAAGAAGAAATGAACGTAATTACCAGAACATAATTTTCTTTTCCTTAGTCCAAGGCTGTAAAAAAGCTAAGAACCTCTTCTGCCATTGTTAGAAAGCTAACAGAAGACAAGGTCATGTCTGATTCTTCTTTCACACTGAATCTGTTGTTGCTTCTGTTTCTGTGCTGTTCACTGTGATATTTATCTTCACCAAGCAATACAGCAGTGGTTTTGCAGAAGTACAGTGTTGTTATTGCATACCAAAATATTTGTATTCTGAAGCTAACAAAGGGTACTTTATTTTTCTAGCAGCTTCTGTTTACTGCAAACTGTTAAATGCAAAGTCTCTGAATCATTAACTGCTGGAGACTAAGACAGCAGCCTTACATATTTTATATTCAACATTAAAATGTGTTTATTTTGACCTCTTTAAAGATGTTTCCTGCCAACAAATGCAAGGGTAGGTGGTCCTTTGAGCTGATCCTCCCTGGTACTCTTGTGCACTTACAGCTGCTAAACAGAAAGGGCCTTGCCTATCCAAAGCTGCATGCAAGATTTCCTGTAAGCTCAGCTGTGCCACCAGTCAGAATGTTCTCACTCCACAAGTGCAAAATAAGTGACTTTTGAAAGTTCCTTCAGCCCCTCATCTCTGTAACACAGCTGTCAGTGTGAGTGATCATTGTGTATATTTTTTAATTTATTAGTTGCTTATAAGTTGGAATGGCAATAGTAATGCATTTCTCTTTACTCAATGAACTCCTTCAGAGGCAAATGGTAACAAAGAAACAGATGTTCATAGACATCCTCACATACAGAAGAATATCTGTAGCTGAATATAATATGAGAAGCTAGTTTCACATAAGAATGCAAATAGAGTGGTTCTAACTGCTTTCTAAATGCAATTGTAATTGGCAAGTCTCTGCTAGTAGGTCTTTTTCATTTGTCCCTTTTTTTTTTTACTCTCTGAAACAACAGCACTGGAAGTACTTGAACTTGGCTGGTCTGAAAGATGGATTGATTGCAGTCTTTCTTGTCAGTGCTCTCCGAGTTGAGCTGTAATGTGTAAAGAAAACAGAAATCATACACGAATAGTAAAAATTTGACCTCTTTGTACATAGCTGACTGTTCTATTAACTGTCCAATCAGATCATAACCAGATCTTAATCTTAGATAACAGTGCTTAAACATGGTCTGTTTAATTATATGTAATTAAATAGAAGTAACAAAAACTTAGCATTTAGATTAATTTAGCAGTTCTGTTTCTCTGCTAAAAAGAAAAAAAAATAAAAAGGAAGTAGGTCATAAGAATTTTGAGCTTTTAAATTGACTTCCTGAATATATTAATGGGTAATGTAATAAAGCACACAGTATCCTGTGTTGAGTAGGTATTATATGGAGGTAAACTATTTTATTTTTGACTTTTATTTTTTAGTTTCTGATGATTTAATAAAAAAGTAAACTACTTTTTAATGTAGCCATATTTTTCACTATAGTTACAGGGCACTTGTTCTATCATTTGACTACAGTCAACAAAAGAAAAAAAAGAGTTAAATGCAATTTCTTGGATTTCAGTTCGCTCCCATTGCGCTCCTGTCTTGTCTCTGGGCACTTCCTTGAGTCTGGCTCAGTCTTCTTCATACCCCACACCCCATATCAGATGTTTAGACATGTTGACAGAATCTCCCCATGCCTTCTCTTCTCTAGACTCAAAGAGTCTCAACTCTCTCAGTATTTCCTCACAGGAAAAATGCTGCAGCCTAGTGATCGTCTTCATGACCCTTGACTGAATTTGCTCAATTATGTCAATTCCACTTATCTTCCAGATGTGTCTCACCAGCACTGAGCAGACGCAAAGCATCTCCTGCCTTGTACAGCTGGCAGTATTCTTCCTTGGCTTTCTTTGCCCTAAAGGCACATTGCTGACTCCTGGTGATTTTTTCATTTTCCTTTATTGAACTTCATAAAGAATTCTGTCTAGTCATTTCTCCAACTTCAAGGTCCCTCTGAATGGGAACACAGCCATCTGGTTAATCAGCCATCCCTCTGGATTTTGCACTATATGCAGACTTGCTAAAGGTGCTCTCTGTCTCATCATTTTTTTCACAAAGCTTGAGAATAAGATGATTTGATTATTTAAAGGGAAATCGGGATCCAATAGAGATGCAGAAACAGGTGCCACACATCACCAAGGTTTTCTTTTTAATTACTTGTACAGAACCACTTCTATGATCACATTTTACCTTCCGGTTTTCTATGATATGAATTAACTTACAGAAGTGAAATTGTTACCAACCTTGATTACAACAAATGAACTTTAAGGATTTGTGAATAATAGAAGTTTGCATTTCACTTTATTTTAACGTTTTGGAACTTGAACGCAGCTTTCATTCACATGCTCAGAGTCACAAACTACTTGTGTCCCACAAAATCACTGTATGACAACTACATGATGGGACAATTTTAGCAAGAGCAAACAAGACAGAAAGAAACCAACTCTTGTCAGCTAGAAGATTTATTGAATTAGGTGCTACAGCCTGGAGAAGAGGAGGCTGTAGAATGACCTAATTATAGCCTTTTAGTACCTAAAGGAAGCTTGTAAGAACAGGAGGGGAGTCAACTCTTTGAAAGGGCAAATAACAGCAGAACAAGGGAAAATGGTTTTAAGTTGAAGGAGGGAAGAGTTAGGTTGGATGTCAAGGTATATAGTCAATGAATATAAAGATGTTATAATTATGAAATAAACAAGACAGTTTAGTAAAATAGATTATAATAATAAAAACAGAATAGATAGAAAGCTTACCCACATCCTGGGCTTACTACAAAACTCCGGAGGAGGGATCTCCAAAAGAGATCCTTTCCTACTGGTAGTCAGCTTGTAAGTGGGTCTAGGTGGAGCCAGGCTCCACCCCTTCCAGCAGCACAGGTGAATTGCCTTCACCTGTGCTCCCATGCCTGACTCATTGCTTGCCTCAGGTGATCAATCAGAGGTTCAGGCCATGATTCAGCAATTCCCATACACAGGGGGAAGTTCTTTCTTATGAGAGTAGTGAGAGGTTGTGAATGCCCTGTTCTTGGAGGTGTTCGAGGCTGGGTTGGAGTTGCCTCTGAGGAAAGGCAATTGAATAGCAACATTCCTGGCAGAAACTGAGTTTAACACTTTTTAATTATAAAGGGAAAAGGAAATGTCCTTTCAGCCAGTCCGTCCAAGGCATACTTGACAGCTATTTCAACTTTGCACTTGTACATCAGAAGTTTTCTGCATGTATTGTAAGAACATTCTTACAGTTAATTAGAGTCAAAGGAGCACTTAGTTGTGTTAGGAGTTACTGCTCTAATTCATGCAGTGTTACTGAAATTCCACCATTTCCTGGACAAAGCTAACCTTCATGTCCACCAACAATTTCTGTGTAAAGAGTGTATCTGAGTGGAGTAAAGAGTCACAGTTTAGGGGGTCACAATAATGCACATTTTGAAACATTTTTTTCTCTGGAAAAGGAAGTTTCCTGTATTCTTGCATTGACTGTATGAGCCTTAATAAGAGCTCCTGACCTGTTCATGTGAACGTCTGAAAGTGCTTGAAAAGTTATGTGTCAGTAGTATGAATGTTTCACAGAATCTTACTGCCTGAGAATCTTTTCAAAACTGAGAAAATTGAACCAGTTCCAAACACTGGGGCTCGCTCCTGCATTGATGGCTTCAGTTACCTCCCTGTCCCTGTTCTACACTCCAGAAATTAAGTTATCAAACACTACATCATTGCTAAAATTTTGCTCTTACGATATTTGGCCCTTTGTTTTTTACTCAAATTGGGACCTTTAATCAGTTGGGCATTGCTTTATGGGATTTGTTCTTACAGTCAATCATTATTCAAGCAAACTTACAGTGGAGCACTTGAAAGAGAAAAAAAAATGTTTTCTGCTTGCAGATTTTTTTTTCTTAAATCTCTTCCTAATCAGTGCTTAAGAGTATCTTAAGTTGTATCTTTTTCTCTCATGTTTAGCCTTGTGTGAATAATCTGGGAAATCTCTGCTGCTGTCCTAAGACTGGTATTCACTTGCCTCAGAAGATTTGTTATGTTACAGTGAAAGACTTGGCATAACTAAACCTAGAAGGAATTAAATTCCATTTCGTCAAGAACTGGGCACAGTATATTTGACCTGAATTATATCCTCAGCTGAAGATGAAAAACCAAAACAAAACAGTTTATATTTTAGTGAGAAAAAAATTATTTATTTATTTACTTATTTATTTTGCTAACTACTGAATTGTGAGACCAGGACTTGATCATTCAGACAAGAAGAACAAACCCAGTAGCTTCAGTGCTACAAGTTTATTTTTGAATTACATAAAAGCTAGAATGATGCCATGATGCCTGGATTTATTTCAAAGATTATATCAAGTCTTTGGTATTTCAGATAACTTGATAAGTATCCCCTGAGTTCTTGCACCCTTTTCCTTCTGTTGCATTTGAGAAATATGAAGATGATGTGGTTTTACACTGACGGGCATCTTCCACCACGCTGCTCTCTCACCTCTCCTCCTCAAAAAGAAGAGGAGGAGAAAAGATGATGAAAAAAGGGTCATAAATAAGGACAGGAAGATCATGCACCAATTACCGTCACAGGCACAACCAGATTTAGAATAGGGAGATTAATGTAATTTATTGCCTATTACTAACAGGCTAGAGTGATGATAACAGTATGGGTATTAATAGCTAGCTATATGACCTCATAGAACGTGGTGTAATCAACTGCTGATTTAGGCATCAAAAAACAGCATTTGGAGCCTCACTGAAGATGTAGAAGTTTGAAAAGCAAGCTTTCTGCATGTTTTAGTACAGAACAGCAAACTGCAAATGTTTTTATTTGCAGTTGTTAATTTTTCTTCAGTAAATCCACATATACTATAATATTGCTAGAGGTGTTTCTTTTTTAATTCAGTTTTTATATGTCATTTATTCTTCTATTAACACTTCTGCATGTCAATGAAAACATTAGGTGATTTCTGGCTACAGTGTATTTCAGATAAGAAAGAAAAGTAGATAGTGCCCTTAAATATGTTCCAGGTATGCGACAGAAAGTTGATTTTGCAGTATTTCCATTCTATTATTTAAAATATATAATATTTTTATTCAGTTGGTCTTCTTATTGTATAACATATTATGCACTGTTTTTTTTTCTACTGAAATCTGTTATGTTTTTGAAATAACTATGCAATCCATAATAGTCTTAGAAAGGCTTAAAATGAAAAAAGATGACATGCTGAAATAGAATTGAAAGCAATTTTTTTTTTTTTTTTTTTTTGTTATTACTACCACCTAAAACAAAGTTTCTGAACTCTTCTTTCATAAGCAGTTATGGTTTTATTTTGGAGACTGTAATATTATTGAATCTTTTTTGAATTATTACTACCCACAATGCTTATAAACTTTCCTCCAAAATGTTTGTGTACCTTAATATAACTAATGGCTCATTCCTCAAGCATCACTTTAAACTGAAACTCTCACTGAGTTTTCATTTGACATGTGAATATTAAAGGATTTTATGAAATCAGATAGAAAAATAAGTTAGCAGAACAACAATAAAAACCACCAAGAAGGTGAATATGCAATCTGAGCAATATTTTTTAAGTTGGTTGCTGTACTGGTCCGCTGGTCGTGAGAGAGGAAACTTCACTGTGGTTAAGTATATTATACTAAATATAAAGCAAGAGAAAACCTGTCTGTACTTAATATTCCATGTCTGCCATGTATTGCATAGAAAATAAATGGGGATCAATGTTATTTGAAGTTATAAAACATTTGCTAGTTTTCCATTATTTCTCCTTATATATAGCTCTTTAAGTCCAGTAGTCGCGTCTATAGAGAAAAGAGAAGAAATAAGGCTGTTCTCAGATTATAGTTTCATCACTTTCAGGACAGCATCTTGGAGTAATAGCAGATGAAGTACTACAAAGAAGATTGTTCTTCTTAGTGGAATACATTTAATAAATTCCAAAAATGAAATAAAAATAATTCCCTAAACACAAGTATATGTACAGAATTAGCAAAAATTAAAGAGTGGGCAAAATCACAAACAAAACATGTTTATAAAAAATGTAATTTAATTTTGAATCAATGTTACAGAACATCTGTTGTGAGCTTTAAATATGTTTATATGTGTATTTCTATAGATTAAAAAAAAAAAAAAACACCTTTTTTTTTTATATTTAATGACATTTTTCAAAGCTCAAATTTTGAGAGTAGAAATGTGTTCACTAATATCTGCAAAATCATGTGATGTGTCTGACCGGATCCAAGGTGTATGTTGACCTTGGGAGTTTAGCCTTGTGAGACATAATGAGATTTCTGTCATGTAGTTAGTTCTTTATTGCTCTGTGGAGATTTTTCATTGTATAGGAAATCCATGATGTTGTGGGGTTTTTTGTCCTGACAGGTGTAGAGACAAAGGATGAATTAGGTTAAAATATCTAAGATTTCTGATATGTTTATTTGAGGAAATATAAGTAATATTTTTAATGCTTGTGTTTAATTATAACATCGTGGTAACATTCTTAATTCTTTCCGGGAGATATTATCCCCACACATGCAATATGATGAGAAGTATATTCCTGGACTATATCAATACTGAACACAGATCATTAAGTATAAAAGGAAAATGGCTTTTGATTAAAGCTACCTATGGAAGTCATTTTATATCCTATTTAGTCGAATATTTTTCCTTCAGCTTCCCACCGAGAAACAATTTCAACTTTTTATAACAATAACTGAAATGATCTCTTTTGTCTAATACAGCAAATCACTTAAGGGACAGCTCTTGAAAGCTGACATGAAACTGATTATTTGCAGTTGCAAAAGGGTACTGAAATGAAAATATGAGTGAAGTGACATTTCATTTAAAACTACAGTTGAGAACGAGGAATGTGAAATGAATGAAATAAAATTTGGCCTAGTGCAATTGACAGAAGACCAAATCTGCTCTGTTTAGTTGTGAGAGAGCAATGTTCTGAATGTTAAAATCCAAATAACTTAAAATAAGTTTTAAATAACTGATTTTAATACTACTACGAATTATTGTTGTTTCTTATTGTTAATATTACTTATGCTTTCATATTGCTGTGGTTACCCAGAGCTTTCCTTTCCTTTCTCTTACAGAAGGGGAGGAGACTGGAGTGATGGATAGTCTGTTGGAGGCCTTGCAGTCAGGTGCAGCTTTTCGAGATCGAAGGAAAAGAACAACAAGGCCTAAAGGTGAATATTCTATTTCACTTTTTTTTTTTTTTTCCTGAATAAAGCTAAAATCATTATGGGTCCAGTGGTCTAAAGGCTTTGGGGTTTAATTCTTTCTTGCAGTGATATCTATCTATCAGGAGTCTTCAGGCTATTTTGCTGCTGTCTGTAGTCCTCTAGAGATCAATGTACTGAACTTAGTGCAGCCTGACTGTTAAGGTTCTTCCATATCGCTATGTATACTTTAAATTTTAGAGGTTTATAGTAATAGCCACTGCATACAGGAGACAAAAGTACACTTGTCCTGCCAGGGCATCAGTTTATTCCACTGTAGATTTTCTCCTAGAAATATCTAACTTTCAAATATTTCTGCTTGCTAATGTCATTACAGTACTCCATCCAGAAACTTTCAAAGAGGTGTTTATTTTCCTTTGTTTTCTTGCTTTTGCAGAAACACCACAAAATCTCAGTCCAACCACACAGAGGCCGGTGCTGAAAGCCTGTAACCATGGTAATGAACCATATTCATGAATTGCATGCTCTTTTTAACTTAGCTTATGTAGTTGATCTGTGTTCTCAAAAGATGGCTGTGATATTTTCTGTTTTCTAGTGGTACACTAAAACAGAATTGGTACCCTGTTGTTAACGTTCATACGAATATTACACCATGACACAGTACTTATTATGTTGTAGAGCTCTTCTGTCTTTTTTAAGTTTTTTATAATTGTTTAAAATTTGATCATAGTTTTCAATACAGTCATTTTATAAACCTTAGGAACAATAATGTAAGACTTTTTAATCTGTTATGTACTTTGTTAGAAAGCAGAGATTGCAGAACATTTAAAATGTTAAATATTTATGACACTAAATTATATAACCTTTTGCATTCCTTTGTGGTTTTCTTGGTACTTTATCTGGAATAGTTTAAGCTGTCAGTCACTAAAATATTTTTAAAATGATGTTGTATCAGTGAAGTAAGAGGAAATTAATCAGTTATTTCATGGAATAGTATTTCTCCAAAATTTGAGCATGGGTCTTATCTGTAAACTCCCAAAGAATCCCACTCAATGAGTAGAAATACTCCTCTGCATGAAGTTACAGTGAGGGTGAAGATGTTTTTTTAGCTTTCCTAGATAATCTGCAGAACAGTATTTTAGCTGCATTTTATCTAAGTCTCAAGAATACAGATTGACTGTTTTCAGTGCTTCTAACCTAGTGGTCTCAGTTTATTTACATAGTTTATTTTATTAAAGAAAAATTTTTGTTAACCTTAAAGAAAAACAAAAGTCTTCATTTTGTAAGCAGAATGCATTATCTTTTGATATTTAAATACCCTTCATAATTTAAAAAGCAAATGCAATCACACCGGGGATATTAATTATACCTCGGTATTTCTTATGTTTTTATTTCTTAAATGTCTGCAGTGGACAAAAAGTCTGTACAGAATTTGTCATTAAACTGAAAGTCAAATAATCTAGAGCCAGAAAGACAGGTGAAATATAATTTAATTCACTTCTAGGAATTGGCCCAAGGAAGAATGAAGTAAATTTGGCAGGTGCTTGTCTGGCACATAACATACTGATATTTAAATAATGACTACAGAGCACATCTGAATTCTACCCTGTAAGATACCACTTGATGGAACAGTTATGTTGGTTGTTGCTTATTTTCAGCCCATTATATTCAGCCTATCATCTGACTACAGGCAGTATAGTTTCCGTTTTCAAACTATAAACGCATCTGGACAAACATGAGGACTAAGTCTTTTGTCTCAGGTTAAAAAATAAAGAAGCAACACAGAACTTTAAATTCTGCAAAGCATGGGAACTGGTTTGTATAACCGATGGATATAATCTGGTACTCAAATTTGGCTAAAGATCAGATGCTTATCCTAGAAAAGTAAAAGTAAACTCTTGGGTTTTATGTTGCTTCTAATTTACCCTTATTTTCAATAGATCATCTTGAGACAACATGATTCTAAGATGTTTTAGAATGAATGCAGCTTTTCTTGAGCCTGTCTCATTTTTCCTGGAGCAAGATAATACATTCCTGATCTTTTAAAGAATTCAGTGCTATGCTGTTGATTTGTTTGCACTTGTCACAGTATCTAGATGGTTGTATATAACTGTCTTGAGCCAAACATAGCACTGAACTTGATATAATTTCTGCTAAAATATATGGGCATTTATTGCTTGGAGTTTATCTTGTAAATTATTCTTTTTTTTTTTGCTTTATTTCTTCAGCTGTTGAAAGCCTATGTAGGTAATTGGAGAATGTTCTGTCTGATCATTTATTTTGTTTTAGGAAATTAGAAATTATGTAGGTTGCATATTATCTAGAACATACACTAGACCCTCAGTAGCAAAGCTTGTTTTTAGTAACCTTACTGAAGTTAGTAATGTTGTCACTCAAACCAAGACTTACAAAGCTTTAATTTTTGGTTACCAAGGAGTTGAGCATTTTATAATGTCGAGTTTGTTTTCTTCAGTCTCATCCTCTTTGTAGTTTTTTTCTTTCACTTTTTTTCTAATGTGGATAAATATGCAGTAACTTATTGTTTCTACATATACTAGACATTATGATTTATTTTCTGTAGTTCATTTTATGAACTCTGTAGTAAAAAGTCTCTAATTTCAGCTTGCATCATAAAAATTGGAATATGTCATTACACAGGAAGATTGGTTTGGCCTTTAATTGATTAGCTGTTTTTCCCAACTTGGAATTTCAAATGAATGCTAAATTTTGTATCAGTGCGCCAAAAAAGCTACTACCTTAAAATATGTGGAAAGCGATAAAGCACTTTTCTTGTTTGATTCTTCTGTTGAGACTAACAGATTCACTTATAGTGGACATGCTTTATTAATATGCATTGCAGATTCATACCTAGAGTGTACTTCTTTGACTCATAATACACTCAGAAAGAATTACAAGTCATGTGTTGAAATATCAACCTACTGAATGATTCAGAATGCAACAATCTCTACTGGGCAGATGCCATCAAGTTCTAACTAATCTTTCTTGTTTAGAAACAAAACAAAAACAAACAAAACCTGCTTAGTCTTTATGATTAAAGATTTTTCTCTAAAAAAAGAGAAATAAAATTGTACCCCAGCACAGTAGATGTAAAAAACTGTGACTTCACATTTCATAGAGTATGGTAGGGGTGAGAAATGCAGAAAGAAGGTCCACTCGCTCCATAGATGTAATATAAATGGCAACAGGAAGGTAATTTATTTCATCACTGCCATTATTATCCTCAGTACAATACTCTCAAGGCACAAAACTACCTCCTAATGGTAAGACTAAGCCAAGTCTTTTTTAAAAAAAGAAAAGTGAAAAGCAGAGGAGCAAGCCGGCACTAAATAGCGCTAGAAGGAGGGTAGACATTTTCTCCTTTCATTAAATAGATTGCTCAAAAAAAAAAACAAGTAGTAAATGTAGTCGAATGATAGCCATTGATTGGTCCTTTTCCTCCTTGTGATTTGTTGGTCTCCCCTGAAAACTCTGGTAGTCTTCATCTGGTATTTCTGAGTGTTAGTTCTCATGCTGCTTCCCAGGGTGGCCTCTTGGCTGCGTTCTTTTATTTTCGGTTCTACTGCACTTTTCTTTTATTGAACAGATTGCCTTTTTTTTTTTTTTTTTTTTTCTAACACGATGTGTTGTTGTTTTTCTTTTTTTGTCATTTAATTCTGCTCTTATTTCTGTGATCAGAATTACCTTAGGAATACAAATCTTTTCAATAGATTTTTGTTGGTATGACTTGTATATTTATTTCCTTTGTTTCTATTAATACCGTTTTGTATTTATTGTACTAACAGCTGAATTAAATTTATACAAAAACTGCCTGGTAAGGTTACAGTTAGCTTTAAAAGAAAACAACCATAAACTGTGGAACTATTGCAAAATATGCTTTTGCTGTAATTGCTTGTCAGAGTAGTGTTCAGCTCTAGTTGTCTGTTAGTGTAGTTCTAGTGTTTTTGTACCTTTGATTCAGTAATATCAAATGGAGAAGCTTTATCTTTCGAGATCAGAATAAAGCACTTAATTGCCACTGATCAGGATTTTGCACATTATGATATCTTTTGAAGCAGCTAATAGCTAACGTTGATCTGAGTCTATCAGTTATTTAAAAAAACAATCAACATACATTAACATCTTGCACATTTATTCCAAGTTAGTTACGTTCGAATACACAAACAAGCAAATCCAAGGCAGCAAAGTGCCCACTGCAGCACAGAAAACTGCATTATTAAATAAGTTTTCAGTCAAGCTTTGCAGTCTGCACTAAGTTCTCTGCTGCTATGGCTACACATTTATTTGCAGTAACATTAGCCAAGGTAATGTTATCTGAAATACGTGAATAGAAATTCTACATACAGCAGTGATTGCACGTATATATATCTCAAATGCAGTGGAAAGTGATTTTCTTTACAAGGAGGTTACATTCAAGATACTGAGAGTAAAGACAAACTATAGTAAAATGGAAGTGAAAATGCAGGTTGATTTTTCTGACTACAGAGGTTGAAAGAAATCTTTCTTTTGCAATCAGTTGGGTTGTGGACTGTGCTTTCTAAGGTCTTCTTTCCATAGTAAAGTCAAACCCCCACTGTAAAGGATGGTGTAAATTACTGTGCTTTTTTGTTCAGCAAACCTGTAAAAGACAGAATGATTTTTGTATGATGTTTAGTCTGAACTGTTTCAAATACATATGTTAAATAAAATTCTTGCCAGCAGTGTTATTCTAATCCCAGTTAAGCAGAAGGAAACGTTTTTTGTTTTTTTGTTTTTTTTTTTTTCTTTCTGTGTTTTTTCATCTCTTACTCGGAATAGAATTGTCTTCTGAGGTTCATCTTAGTGTCTCTGCTACCTTATTTTTGACAATCATACATGGCAATGAGCTAAGGCTCATCTTAATTCTGAAAATCAGTAGCACAACCACCTGCAGGTCGCTATTTTACTTGAGCATTGCTATACATGACAGCATGTGATGATTTACATTTGATCTCAGTTTATCCTTTAAAAAAAAAAAAAGTGTATTTTGCTGTGTTTCCCAAAATTGCATGCAGGGAACATTAGGAAGTACCTAACATTGGAGAGACATTGCAGCCTGTGAATATTTTTCCCAGTAGGTTTCTTAACCTGTGGCCCTGAAGATGCATTCTTGAACATGATCATTTTTTCATGGTAGACATTGTTTTTAAGAAATTATTGATGTTAGCCTGTTTTTCATTCCATTCATGAGCTAAACATTTAGCTAGATGTTTTTTCTCATGTATGGAAAGAAGAAAGTAGACAAAGTTTTGGGAAGGATTTGTGAAGTTTTACTGAACAGTCTAGTTTCCTCAGCAAACTTGCAGTATCTGTAGGCACTGTTATAAAATGAAAATATTTACTAGGATTTTTGTTAAAAAGAGAAAGGTAGTTCTCAACTGCTCCCATTTTAAGACCAAATCTTCACTTCAATATTCACTTCAGAAGTCAAGTAAAACTGCTGCTTATCCTAACAGAAAT